ATGATTTTCATGACTCAAACCATGGTAGGCAATGTGAGAGTCCAGCACCTTCACCACTATGCCACCTGCTTGCTGCCCTCCCCAGCTGAAGATTTTAAGGTAGGAAATAGGATGCTGTGCTGCACAATTTTATAAGACTACTTGAAAGCTGTTGGCGACTGTACTGCTAAGGGGCAAAAGTTGTCTCTGTCCAGGGGAGACTGCGGTGGCTTGAACTAGGCAACCCCAGAGGAGCTGAGTGCCTCCAGCAGCTGCGTGATCCACCCAGAGCCAGCCTAAACCTCCAGAGGATCCACATCCTCCCATCTGCCAGGGAAACTGCTTCCGACTCCTGTCACCATGGTAGCTGTGCTTCTTCTGCCTGGATTGGTCACTGGGGTGACATCATCAGCACCAAGTGACTGATCCTCACTACAAGAACCGGTTGCCATGGCGCTACTAAATATGCAAGCCAGATCTGCCATTCTTCTCCAGGCTCAGTGTCCTTGACTAGCTCTGCAGCCAGGACAAGACATGGAGGGAAGATCATGACAGGGAAGGTTAGCTGTCAGGTGCTTGTGGTCGCTGTGCCTCAGGATTTGTCCAAATCAAGGCCAGCAGGTGCTGGACTCCCACATGGCCAACTGAGGTTTGAGTCCCAGACCTGGCAGCTTTCTCTCTCTCTCTCTCTGGTGAGTGCACATGCCCTACAGCAAATTTTTAAAATAATAAAAAAATAAATAAAGTAAAAATAAATAATTATTAAAAAAAAAGATTTGTCCAAATCAAGACTGCTGTTAAAGCATGTTGTGTTGGGGGCAGAGAGAGCTTATAATGTGGAGGGGGAGGCCACAGAACAAACACATGCAAATTCTACATCCCTGTTTCCTCCCATTTTAGAGCGTCTTTGAGCTGTTTCCTTCTCTGAGCAAACTCTGTAGCGGCTTGAGACCTCCCTGCCCCCTCTCTTGGCCCCTATTACCTTCAGGGGACAGTTGTAGGACAGCCTCCTACTGGATTTTTCAAGTGGTTTTTATGGAACCTCTTCATTTGGACTTGTCTGAGGACAGGACTGAGGGCCCCAGCCACAACCTCAGGTGAAATCTGCCA